AAAATTCTGGGATATTGAATAGTTCGACCAGGACTACTAGTGTTCCGCAAAAAAGATCCGAGCGGATCCGCTATTTTTAATGGATGTGAATGTAACATTTCATAAAGGGTACCAGAACTGAACTATACATATAATTAATATGAAAAACACACTACAAGCAACAGGCTCCATTTGTCTCTCTCATCTATCACCAGTAGCAAGTCCTCAAAATCCATCAATTCGAATCCGGATCCGAATCCGGATCCGGCTTATGAAGTGAGTTTGAAAGCCTGCTATTGGCTACAGGTACACGAGAGAGACAAGTAGAGCCAGTTGCTGGTAGTGTATTTTCCATATTAATTATATGTACAGTTTTATTTCGAGTATACTTTGTAAAATGCTACTTTCATGCCCATTAAAAATAGCGGATCCGTTCGGATCTTTTTTGCGAACTACAGTCGACTACCGATATAACGGACATAACATAACGAACTAAATTTGAATTACTGAATTTTTAGTATGTATGTACGTAGGAAATTTAAATCGATTACGTTTAACGGATTCAAATAGTAAAAAGGCCATATCGATATTATGTACGTATGACGGACAGTCTTGCTATATACTGATTTCATATTATTAAGTTACTAACCCATATAAGGAAGTAATATAATACATCGACGGCGGCCAATCATTAAAAAAGCTGGCTTGAAATAGTAACGGAATTTAATATTTTCAAGCCTATTCTGTTACGTATATGAGTCGTTTGCTAGGAAAACCGATGTTTAGTTTTTTTTTTTTAATTTTTAAGATTTTTAATTCAAGTTAAAGTACTAGTTCTTATTTAAGTGCTGTACAATTTTTATTATAGATTTTTATATTTGGAAAATCAATTCTCGAAAATTGCTCTAAAAATAGAGAGATTGGCAATTTAATTTGGAGAGCATGTGACTTGTTCGTCAAATCTGGGACCCCAAATCTGGAATTGAAATTTCGTGTAACGCAATTTTCTCAAAAACTGCCCTTCAATCAGATATTGGCATAACTTTCAGATCTAAATCACTGTTTGGAAAGTGATTTTCCTAGCAAATGATACATTTATGGAGTTCGGATGGAAAGGAATGGATCTTTAACGGTCCTAGTCGAGCCGTCTTTATTGCATGGGTGGTGTTATTAAATTCTTCCTGCTGGCCACAGTCATTTGTGCAGCGAAGGATATCTAGCTTCTAATTTCATGTTCGGGTGTCCTCTACAAATCTTGGGGTTTCGTTATTAAATTCTAAT